TGGAGACACTGCAATGGACTTGTGCCTATGTTTACACTGCTAGAAGGTGGAACAAATAGAATTTGAACTTGGTCAGACTCCAGACATGTGTGCAGTGTGTTAGGTGTAACATTTTATTCAAGCGGAGGAGGTTGATGAGTTTAGGCTCAGGTGGGCAGATGTAAATTTCGTTTGGGAAGTGTAAATAATTTAAAATTGTGATTACCAAATTTTGTTGCACATTCCAGCCATCTTTGGAGGGTTTTACAAATGAGGATTCCTGGGCCCTGTCATCAGCAGCTATTACTAGACAGCATATTGACAGACCAGAACCTGGAGTCACTGACCTGGAGTAAGGCATACTTGCCAATTTGAGGTCAACCCAGGGGGAACTTCAATATCATATTAAAGAGTTTTCATATGCTAGAATTGTATAGTTATGCCTTCCCATCTCTTTTCTAATGATGTGCTTGGGGGCTGGAACCCCTAAGGAAAGAACTGGGTCTGTGAACACCTTTGGGTAGTCAGACAGTTAAAATGGCAAGTGATTGGAGGACAGATCTGACATTAAAGTACATAGGATCGTAGGGTCTGTGGGGGAGCCTTCTCCCAGTCTTCAGAAGGAATCAGATTCATTTACCATATTTAGCATGTTGTGTGATAGCCGAGAGATGGTTCAGCTAGTGCTTCTGGTATACCTGCCCTTTATTCAGTCACCCATGTACACACACACACACACACACACACACACACACACACACACACACACACACACAAACTCTCTCTCTCTCTCTCTCTCTCTCTCTCTCTCTCTCACACACACTCACACGCTCCAAAGGAAGGAAAGGACTTTGTGCAACAAAAAAATATATATACCAAAAAACTAGTAAGATGGGCCTCTGAATCACTTGTTTCCTATCAGCCTCTCTCTTATCTCTTAAACATGTTCCAAGCACTTTGACAAGTTCTGGGATGCTAGTTATAGATATGTGTGGAGAAAGAAGTGACTCACTCTATTTTAAGGGGTCGATAGAAAACCTGCATAGAGGAGGCAATACCTGCCTATTCATAATTTTAAATGTTGCGTAGGAAAGCAGATACAGCATATGCAAAAGGAATGAGCTATTAAGCAGCTTCTTGCCTCAGGGGAATTATAATTAACAGGAATGAACTAAAGTGAGTGAAAGATATTGATAGAATGTTTGGCAAGCGTTACATACAAGCTTGAAGTTAGTACACAGGAATGCCTACCTTGTAGGAAGTAGATGTAGGTATGGTGTCCTTGTAGGTATGGTGTCTGACACATAATTGCTATTTATGCCAATAGCACCTGCTATTATTGTTGTTAGACAGAGACCAAACTTTTTTTTTTTTTGAGTCGGTATGTTTGTCACCCGGGCTAGAGTGCAGTGGCGCAGATCACGGCTCACCACAGCTTTGACCTCCTGGGCTCAAGCAAGCCTTCCTGTTGTCTTCCAAGTAGCTAGGAATACTGGCATGCACAACCACATCTGGCTAATTTTTCTAAATTTTTGTAGAGATGAGGTCTCGCTGTGTTACCCAGGCTGATCTTGAACTCCTGGGCTCAGACAGTCCTCCCAAGGGGTTGGGATTACAGGCATTGAGTCACTGCACCTGGTCAGAGCACCAAGAGCTTTGACTGTATCCTGCTGAGGATGTGGAATGACATGTCAAATTTGGACTTTTGATAGTTCACTGATACATAGGGACTAATCTGAGAGATTTGTTCAGAGACTGTTTATAGTAATCTAGGGTCTGAATCATGGCAAAGGCAGTGAGGTTGAAGGGGAATGTATTAGTCAGCTCAGCTGCCATAACAAAGTGCCACAGGCTATGTGGCTTAAACAACAGACATTTATTTCTCACAGTTCTAGAGGCCAGGCAGCTCAAGATCCAGTTGCCAGCTGATAAGGTTTCTAGTGAGGCCCCTCTTCCTGGCTTGTGGATGGCTGCCTTCTCCCTGTGTCTTCACATGGGGGTCTAGGGGTAGGGAGAGTGAGCTTGTGGTTTCTTACAAGAAATTAATCCTATCTGATCAAGTCCCTTACTTATGACCTCATTTAACCTGAATTACCTCTTTGGAGGCCCCATTACTCAATCAGTCACACAGAAGGTTAGGGCTTCAACATATGAGTTTAGGGGAGACACAATTCCTTCCATAGGGAGTAAAGTCAGTAGCTTACCTGCTTCTTTGAATGTGGTTAAGTAGACATAGGGTTGCCTTCTGGGCTTTAGATTTGGGGTACTGGATGGGTGCCGGAGCTACTACCTAGAGTAGGGAAGAATCAGGAAGTTTCTTGGCATATGTATATATTTCATCAAGATTGTTTTTGTCCCGTTAAATTTTTTTGTGTAGACTGGTAAGCAAAGCTATGCTTTTTTATAATTTATTCTGCCACAAAAGGAAGGTGATTCTAATCTCCTTAAATTATTGACTAGTTTATCATGTTTATAAATTCTAAAGTGGGTGAATTGTATGCCCATTTACTGTTTCATTGGTAGTAATTATTTTCATTTTGTTATATGCCAGAACAGATAGACACTATATTTATTCACAAAATATTTGTGTAGAATAAGAGTGGCTTATCTGAGAATTAGGTTTGTATATGGTGTTGAGGTTTAACTATCTTTCTTTGTGTGGGTGACATTTTGGCATTTTAGATATGGTCCAGGGATACCTTATTGACAAAGGCATTTCCTGCCTTTTATCTTATTTGTATTTTTTTTCTCTGCTCCTGCAGTGTGCCCTGAAGATCAGTGCTTTCCTTTTTATCCTATACCTGTTTGTCAATGTTTGGTGATTTTTTTTTTTTTGAGTTGGAGTCTCACTCTCGCCCAGATTGTAGTGCAGTGGCCGCTCCCAGCCACCGCAGCCTCGACCTGCTGGGTTCCAGTGATCCTTCCGCCTCAGCCTTCCGAGTAGCCGGAATTACAGGCACGTGCTACCACACCCGGCTGATTTTTTTATTTATTGTAGAGATAAGGTTTTGCTGCCCAGGCGGGTCTCGAACCCGCAGGCTCAGGCAATCCACTCACCTCAGCCTCCCAAAGGCGCGGGATTACAGGCTGAGCCACCGAGCCCGACTGTTTGGTGATATTTTTAAATAGTTGAGGCAATAGCTTATGGGCAAACGGCATGCAATTTATAGAGTCTAGGTAATGCCTTTTGTGGAGCTATTTAAAGATGTGATTTTCAGCATTGCATCAAAGCTTGTTTAGGGAAATTTACCTTGTTTGGGTGTGTCTCATTTTTTTACTTCGGTATATGTGTGTTATGTATGTTCTGTGCTTTTTTCTTTTTGTTCTTTTTGATTCAGAGTCTCAATCTGTCACCCAGGCTAGAGTGCAGTGACAAGCCAACGGCCACCGCAGCCCTGACCTGCTGGACTCAGGTGATCCTTCCGCTTCAGCCTTCCAAGTAGCTGGAACTACAGGCATGTGCCAACATGCCTGGCTAATTTTTTGATTGTAGAGATTAGGTCTCGCCAAGTTGCCCAGGCTGGTCTCTAACCCCTGGACTCAGGCAATTCTCTCACCTCAGCCTCCCAAATTGCTGGAATTACAGGTTTGAGCCACTCCGCCCAGGTGATTTTTTCTTCTTATTGAAGTGTACATATGTTCAGAAATTTGCACACCTGCATTTTCATAAACTGAAAACACCTGCATAACAGACATCTAGAAAAAATTTTTAAAAAGTTTAGTTGTGTCTGGGAAAAAAATGAACCTATATGAATCTGCTGTGTAAATGGGAGGAACATGTGACCTTTAAACCTTTTTCTTGTCTTTTTGTATTAGCATATTTCCTGTTATCTAATGTATTTAAGAATTAGCTGATTATTCATTAGTCTTATCTTGTGTATCAGTATTGTTTACCTGTAATCTTGCCTACTGTTTTGAAATGAAAATTATTGACCTGAGCAATATGATCTAACTGCCTTTTAAATATTTGAAAGTATAGTGGAAGGGAATGTTGTTTATACTTAGCTGCTGTTAGAAAAATTGGAAGTCAAAAAAATGTTCTTTCAGTGCCTTGTTGGAAATGTTAACAGGCCCACCTTAGGAATATTTAATTCTAATTCTAATCTTTGTGCTCAACATGACTATTTTTTGATTAAAGCCTAGAATCTGGGGAGTTACCTACTAGCTTATAGATTTTTGTCTAGTTGAAAAGATAACCAAATGTTATGGTTTTATTGTCTTGTAGGACATTAACCAGTTTTTTTAAAAAAATCTAACCTAGCTGCCTTATTCTAACACTTAAGTAAAAAAAAGGCCTTATATGGTGAACTGTATAAACCTATTCATAAATGCTCTTGGAACCAGCCTTACTATCTACTGATTCCTTCATTAATTAATGAGTTGCGTATAATTTTTGGTGGGTGTTTGTTCTATATTTGTGTCAATGTCATTGTTTACCTTTTTGAAAGCCATAGTTTTATACTATTATAGCATATTTGTTCTGTCCCTTCACACTATACCTAGACATTGACTTTCTAGGACGTACATTGCGTTGGACAAAGATTTCAAACTCCATGAATGAAAGTTCTTTTTTTAGTTTTTGATGTGTTTCTTCAGAGAACATTTATAATAAAAAGTAGGTTTTAATAATTAAAATATGCCAGGCATGGTTGCTCACGCCTGTAATGCCAGCATTTTGGGAAGCGGAGACAAGAGAATTACCTGAGCCCATGGGTTCGAGACCAGCCAGGGCAACATGGCAAGACCTCGTCTCTACAATACATCAAAAAATTAGCCGGGCGTGGTGGCATGCACCTGTAGTTCCAGCTACTTGGACGGCTGAGGTGGGAGGATTGCCTAAGCCCAGCAGGTCAAGGATGCGGTGGCCGTAAGCATGTCACTGTACTCCAGCCTGAGCAAAACAGTGAGACTCTGACTCAAAATAAAATAAAGCAAAATATTATCTGTATTTATCTAATAATTTGTATTTATTAAAAATTAATTAAAATATCCTAATAAAGTACTTTTATTTTTTTCAGGAATAAGCTCATAAAGCAGTCATTGTGAAGAACATTTTGAGCAATTTTTCTGTCCCATCAGTAGAAGAAAAGTCAACAGAGGACATCCTTTTGTGTGTGTGTCTCACTGAGTTTTTATAACTCAGCTTAGTAATGAAGCCATCATTATGTCCTCAGACAGTGAAGTAAATGTTGATATCAAATATTTCCTAATGAGCATTAATTTGGAGCAGTATCTCTTACATTTTCGTGAGTTTGGTTTTAATACTGTGAAGGACTGTGCAGCCATAAATGACAGCGTGCTACACAAAATTGGAATATCACCTACAGGACACCGTAGAAGGATACTTAAACAGTTACAGATAATCTTGTCAAAAATGCAAGATATCCCAATATATGCAAATGTTCACAAAACAAAAAAGAATGATGACGCTTCAAAGGATCACCATGCTCCATCTTCTCATCAGAATACCCATGTAGAACTTTCAGAATCAGGTAGTGTTCAGACACCTAGCCCATTGCCATTGGAGAGTGTTACAAAAAATCTTGATGGAAATGATGTTAGTGTGGAAAATAGCCAGTCTCTTAATACAGATGATAAGTGGTCTCTTCCTGAACATGACTTTCCCATTTCAGAAGAACCACACTTGAATTTGGATTCTTTGCGTGATTCTTTATTTGGTAGTGAAAACGTTAAAATAGAATCTTTGACTACAAAGAAGACTATGAATTTCACAATTGAAGAACAACAAACAGAAAAATCTAATTTGAACTCAGACCCTGATTGTCTTTCTCCCATTGGCTGTTCAGCATCAGGAGAAAATTCTGGAAATGGAACTAATGGTATATTAGAAAGATCACCACCATCCCCATTTTTTAAGTTTCAAGGAGAAATGGTTGTAAATGATTTGTATGTTCCATCATCACCAGTCCTAACACCTATGAGAAGTCGTAGCAAGTTAGTTTCAAGACCAACCCGATCTTTTCTGCTAAGACATCGGCCTGTGCCAGATATCCCAGGGTCCACAAAAGGAATTTCAGGCAGGTAAGAACTTTTACAATAAGCTGTATGTATTCATTTTGGGGGAATTTAGTTATTTTTCACAATTATATTTCCAACCTTCTTTTCCAAATTTGACTTATGTTTATTTACCTATACAGGCGACCTTTTTTTCTCTAAGTATTTCCTCATGTTATTGTACGTTATTTCTCAGAGTTTGTTTGCATCTTACAACTGCTTGTGACACTTTAGCTTTTCCCTGTTTAACTTGGGGAAGCATCCCTTCCCCTAATTGTGCCTGGACATTTCTTCCCATACCTTCCTTCCACATCTGGTATTGTAGTCTTTCTATCAGTGCAGTTCTCATATTTGAATTGCTGACTCTCTCCCCGACTCGATTATTTGTTCTTTGGCAAAGAACATGTTTTTAACGTTTGTTTTTCTGCAGCCTGGCACAGTGCTTGGCACCAATGAATAATTCAGCACATGCCTATTGAACTTGGTACTAGTCACTGTGCTAGGTGGGAAGGATTCAAAGGCAAATAAAAAGACTTTGCAGTATAGTGTAGAAGACAGATGCGAAAAGATAGTGACAGAACAGTATGAAACCAGGTTCACTAGAGACCACAACTCTGGAGCCCTACCAGCACAGGTCATTGTAAGAAGGTAGTAGGTCATGAATAGCCTGAGGTAACTGAACAGTTTGAGAGGAGCTGATTTACAGCAGAGAGAGCTTTCATCCATTTCTGTAAGTCATAACTAAAATAGCTGTGGTTTTCTCCAGAGTGGGGGTAGGATATTGCTTTTTCCACTGAAAGCTAATACTTATCTCTCTGCTGGGAGGCTTGAGGCTATTCAAGTTTGACTTTTACTGCAGTGCACTAAACACTTTACACACTTCCTGTACAGTCTCTAAGCTGGACTTTCAGCCTTGTTCCCCTCCCCCACTCCCTCCAATCTGTGACTGCAGCTGATTCTCTGGTCCTTAGGTACCTTTGGTCATTGCAGTGCAAGTTATATTTGTAAGAGAAAAGGTAACAATTTACAAGAATCTGTTCATTTAAGTTTCTCCTTTAAAGCACAAACCCTTTGATGGCAGAGCCCCTAATTAATTTGTCTTTAACTTGACATCTTTTGTGCTAATAGCAATGTCTGGTATTACTAGGCTATCAATAGTAATAGTGTCATTCATTAAACACTTAGAGTGCTAGTTTGGTTTATAATTTTCCATGGGTTATCCAATTTTCACAATGGCCTTGTGAAGTGGGTTATGTTCACCCCATTTTACTTATGAGGTTACTGAACCGTAGGTTAATTTTCCAGGATCACAGGGGGAGTGAACTGAGATTTCATCCAGTACATCTGACTCTAGAACCTCCTTTCTTAACCACTCATTTAATAAATATTTTAAAAATGTTGATTGCTTATTTCTTGGGATTGTAGAAGATAAAACAGTTAGCTATTTTGAAGAAAGTAAATGAAAAATTGCCAGTCTTCAGATGGCAAATGCTTCGACTTGTGAGAAAGGCCTACTTGTGAGTACATAAAAAACTTCATCTTTGGCAGAAGAGAATCCTTTGGGAGCCATGTGGATAACTTTGGATAAGAAACGTTTGTTTTAAATTTCACACGGTATGTGCTATTTCTCATGAATTTTAGAGTATCTTTTGATGCTCATTTAATTGTATAGGGGCAGCAAAATTCTACCTCCTTCCACTTAGGGTGCCTGCTGAATTAAATTGATATAAAACAGATTAATAGGAAAAAAACCTACACATTTATTTAATGCAAGCAATAACAAGTTTTATGGCATGTTAAACCCTCATAAGGAGATGAAGGCCCAAAGAAGCTGTTAGAATCTGAGTTGGAAACAGAGTAGTACATTGTGAAAAAGTAACTAATTATGTGGGGAGGCTTAAAAGATAAGAGTTATTTTAATAAGATCTGTATAGAATTCTTTTGGTTTCCACTTCTTGTCCTTGAGGATAGGATGTTAAGTTCTTTCACATGGGAATTTTATCTCCTGCATTTAAGAAACAGCTGGAAGCCGGTGGCTCAGCCTGTAATCCCACGCCTTTGGGAGGCTGAAGTGAGTGAATTGCCTGAGCCTGCGGGTTCAAGACCCGCCTGGGCAGCAAGACCTCATCTCTACAATAAATCAAAAAATCAGCCGGGCGTGGTAG